CTTAACGTCCTCTTTAACATCATATCCTTTACCTTTTGTCATTCCTGACCAATCCCAAAATCTATGACTATGCAAACCTGCTTGAGATGTACTTAAATCTATGTAGTGACTGTGTGCAGGTAAATTTGCACCTGAAATCGTTTTACTTCCACCTGTTTCCTTTGAAGAGTTTGCACAATACAAAAACCTGTCGACTATTTGAGTCCAAGTTCCAAAACCCAGAACTGTTTCTGGTCTGGTAGAGTTCATTGAAACATATAATGAGCCAACCGGGTAAATAAGATTCGGCAAAATTTGTTTAAGCACATTGAGTTCCTGTCTTAGATGTATAATACTATTGTCATTAGATATCAAAGTATCTACAAGACTTGTTGCCGGTGGTATTGTTGGACCTTTACTTGGCAAGGTTGTGTTTAGTGTAATATCATCTGCTGTAAAAGTTGTAAAACTTGTATGTGTATGAGTCTTATCTGCTTTCTTCTCTAACTTACTAGCCACATATTCCTTATCCGCTTTCTTTTCAAGGCTAACGTTTAAGTCTGTTATTTCAGATATAGAATGTGTATGAGTCTTTTTAGAATATTCGTTTTCAGCTCTTGTCACTTCACTTGACATTTTATTGTCAACATATGTTTTGTCTGCTAGTTCAGGATGAGTATGTTCTTTTGTTGCATAAGCATTGTTAGCTCTTTCTTCTTCTTTTGCTATTGCATCGTCTACATATTCTTTGTCAGCTTTGTTGTCAACATCTGCTTTCAAAAGAAGTTCATTTATAGGTTTCTCGTTTAAAGTTCCTTTTGTTGGATTTATACAGACAGTATTGTTCTTCTTGTCTTGAAATAGAAACTCATCTGTTAAAGGGTTTAATGTCAGTTTTAAGTTTCCTTCTTTCAATGACTCAGATATCTTAGAATAGTTTGAAAAGTTTGTTGTGTTCTTATTTAGAGCTTGCACAATGAGTTGTCGGTTGTGTTGTATTTCTCTTATGGAAGCAATATCTTTCGACATTTTTATTCTAGATAAAATATGCTTTCAATAGAAAAAGAAAATTCAAGAGTTGCTACAACTAAACCATTAGATGAACTTTTTACTAATGTCGGTCAAAAGTTTGAGACAGAGACCGTAAAGCATGAAGGCTATCGTTTTGACTACCCATTAAGATGGCTAAGAGACCCATCTGTCACAAAAGCTATTGGCTTTCGTAGAATGAAGTTCATTTCAGAAGCCATACATGGTTTCCCATTTACGGTCGGTTTTGAAGTTCGATACTATAACAAAGAAAAACGTATGTATGAGAAATTTGAACAGGGAAAACTTTTACAAGTTAGTTTGCTTGTAAACTTAGAAACAACTCTTCAAGCTTTTCAAGAAAAAATAAACGATATCTATCTCGAATATGCAAACCAGTATAACATTGACGAGGGAGAGTACCATCTCGATATTATTTATGACAGGAAAAATGCAACTGTTAAAATCAATAGAATAGAAGACCTTGGAGAAAACGTTTATATTTCTACAAAATATAACAACTTGGCATGGTATAGATTTATGAGGATGTTAAATCAGCCTGCAGCATATCCAGTACACCCAGACTTTTATGAAGTCGAAAACCCTAATGGAACATATGAAAATGTTTTCGACCAAGATGCTATTATTGTTCATGCTTCATTTTCTGGCGCCCAAAACTCTTTCTTATGCTTGGCAAATGACTTTTACGAAAAACCTACAAAGTTATACGAACCACCAAGTGGAAGTATTTCAGACTTTCAAGTATGGTTTACTACAGATGGAAGAAAAAGAATAATTCCATTATACCATGCTTTTTACTTAGAACTTAGTTTCATATACAACTACTATCGAACGGTAAAAATATAATTTTTTAATACGGTTGAGGTGTTGGATTTGGTTGCCAACTAGACTGTGGTGCAGGTTCAGGCTGTTGTATAACAGGAGCTTGCTCTTCTGGTTCAGGGTCTTTAGGTATAATACCAACGAACTGACCTACCCTTTTACCAATATTTTTGACACCGTTCCAAATTCCTCTTCCTACGGTTTTTATTCCATTCCATATACCTCTTCCAACATTTCGAAAGAAGTTTCCAATACTACTGAAGAAACCCATTTTACTATATGTAAAAATCTAATGTCCGCCTAGTCTCTTACGTTTCCTGTTGAGTTCCATAGCATTCTTTAACTGGAGCTCATACATTCTGTTTCTCCTCTGGTAGAAAACATATTCTGGGTCAACTCCTGTGTTCGCGTCATCTGCATAAAGTTGTTTATATCCCACTTCAGGGTTTGTATAAAACTCTTTCCATCTCATATTTGCATACCATGGTGGCAAACCTAACGCAGCGTCATTTGACATGGCAGTTTGCATTTGTACATCTGTTGGCACTTGACCATAGTTTGCCATTGCAGTTTGTATTCTAACTTCATTTGGAATATTCTCTGGGTTTGGTTGTCCAGGTTGCTGTGCATTCGCTAAGTTCTGTGCGTCCATTTAATATTAGATAAAAATATCTCTTACGAGTACATATACTGAACATTTGCAGGCATTGGTTCATCTTCATATTCTCTATATCTTTCTGCCACGTCAAAGAAATAAATGACACAATGGAAAAAACCTAAAACAAGTAGTCCTATTTCAAACCACATTTACTTACTAATAAAATTTCTTTGTTATGACACTTTCTCCGGTTTATAGGACCTCTCTCATATTCTATCTTGTCATATCTAAACTCATAGTCATGTATGTCCTCTAACCATCTCATAACGGTTTCCAAACCACTTTTATCGGATGTAAAGTAAAAGCATGGATGGTTATGTATAACGTCTAAAGTTTCTAAAGAGTCTCTCAAAGTCCAGTCTACTTGGTATTGAAAATCCCATGTGTTATAGAACGGCGGGTCCACTATAAAGAAAACATTTTCCTTGTCTTTATATTTTTCATACAACTCTGTCCAATAACATCTCACAAACTCTATACCCTCAATATATTTTTCTATGTTCTCTTTGAAAACATTTGTATAGTTAAGATATAAAACTTTTGACATAAGTGTTTCAATGTCATGAACTCTTATAGAACCACTATATAATAGTCTAGCAGATATACTATCCCAGTCTATATATTCTGCTTTTTTCAAAACCTCTCTCACAATATTTTTGTTATCTAATGGTATACGTTCCATCTTACCTATAGGTATCTTTTCTTTTAACTCTTTCAATATTTTGTTTGTGTCTGGAATATGTTTGAGACGGTCCATATAGTTGTCGAAGTCATTGCATATAATCTTTGAGTCTGGGAATATTGTATGGCACAAATGGGATATATAGAAACTTCCACCGAACAAATCTACAAATGTTAGACCATTCGGTAGTTTCTTAAGTTCTCTCAATATAATATCTTTACATTTACTCTTATTTCCAAAGAACGGTAACGGAGGTTTTGTAAAATTCATTTATATATAATAATAAAAATGTTTTTACCCGAAAAGTGACAGAAAAGTGACAAAACATGAAAACATATATAATTTGTGAAAAGTGAAACATTATATAATGTTTTCGACCCAGAAGAAGGCTTCTTCCCAGAAGCAATGGAGGAAGAAGAAGAGTCCTCCGAATTCACACCAGAAGACTAACAATTTTCCGAATAAAAACTTCATTTATACTAAACATCTTCGGGGCTAGAGGGCACGAAGTGCCTGGAAGCCCCACTACCTTTTTTTTTTCCTTTTTTTTTTTCAATATTTGAACAACCCGTAATTAAAATTGAATTCCTCTTAAAATTTAATCCATACGTTAATTTTTAATTTGCTCGGCGAATGCCGAGCTTCCCTACTTCTCTTGTCATTCCTTCAAAAACTCTAATCTCATCGCACTTACAAACATCATGATTTGATGTATTGTCGAGAAATCTTAGACTTGTTTGTCATTTGATTATAGCATTTGAAAGTCATCTCGAAAATCGATTAACAAGACAATTTCCCAAACATCTACATACAAGTAGATGATGGTAAACCCATTAGAGTTGTTTTGCTATGATTCCTCCAATCTTATGATGAGAAAAATCATATCAAAACAGCTCTAATCGAACACTCTACACAGCTTAGCATCCAGCTAGTTCCAAGTAATGCGATTACAACATCAACGGCCAAAGCCTGTCAGAGTCCTTTAATCATTTCTTCTCATCTCAATGTGAAGTGGCCCCAAACGAACTACAAGCTGACGTTACAACACATTACAACCCGGTTAATACGAGCATATACATTAGAGCTGCTTTGTTATGATCTCCCTCATCAATTGATGAGAGATCTCATTATGAAGCAGCTCCAATCGAACTAAAAACCTACATACAAATGAGTGAAAACAAACTCATTAGAGTTGTGTTGCTTTGATTTCTCTCATCAGAAAATGAGAGATACCAGAACAAAACAACTCTAATCAAACTTTCTACACAACTCAGCACAGTATCAATGCAAAGTAATGCGTCTGTATCGTTAACAAGCAAAGTTGTTTCGGGTCCTTCCATTTTGGAAGAATTCGGAACAACTTTGCGAATTGATAGTGTAAACCCATATACATGAAAGCGTGCATGCATAAAGACGGGTATTGTCAGCAATGACTACCTGCCCAGCTATGAGTGATCAGAGAATTACCATCTCAGGCTTTTTGAGAACGTTTCAGCCAGGACCCTCGTATGTTGACTGTGAGAAAGGCATCCTTTATCTGAAATAGATGCTTTTCCAACAATCAAATTCGAAGATCTTCGACGTTGTTGTAAAAAGAGAAGGAGAAGGAAAGAAGAGGAAGGAGAGGAAGAAGGAAAGGAAAAGAAGAAGAAGAAAAAAGAAAAAAAAGAAGGACATATTAAATATAATGCGCACTTAATAGTGCCGAGGCGCGATTTTTTTGACCCTATATTACCGCACGGCAATGTTTTTCTCGATTTTGTACAGCCCTAGTTAAACATCACAAATACTGATACTTTCACAGGGTTCATGTTTAGTTTCGATGTTCCTGAATTTAAATCGAAAAATATCACTGAAATACCTTTAGAACCATGCACAGACAATCAATTGTATTACTGGAGTCCAAATTACAAACTAATTGACATAATTTCTCTTCATGGCTATAAAATCGACCAATACAAGTCAATGAGATATCTACAACAAGTCAAAGTTTCAATTAACGATATTTATTTCTCTTACAAACTATTTGATATCAAATTTTGCAGAGGACCTAAATACAATCCATATGATGTTGATTCTGTTTATACATATACACCAGAACCAGAAGAACTTGTATTATCTCCTTCCCTTATTATTAAATGAATAAATTTTGATTTTATATTTAATTTTTTAAAGAAAAGCATATTAAACTGTTTACTATATATATAAATATACTTCTATGTCATATCAATTCTTGTAATTAAACATATCATTAAAAATAATTTTTGAAATTGTAAGTATTTTAACCAATCATCATCTTAATATTCCATCATTCATCATGGTGTATATATATACTATCAATAAATTGATGAGGTTTGAAAAATCACATTCATTTTGATCCGAAAAAATTTTGCTAGAAATCTGAAAATTGAATAGCTCAGAAATTGCATCTTATTAAGTTTATAAATCGGAATAACTTATTAATAAAGATTTTTGATTTAAAATTTTTCAACCAAAAATCCAACAAAAAAATTTAAATCGAGCATATTAACTAGTTATTAATCATTTCATCTAAGAAATGACACGATTCAATTTTTATCGTAATGATTTCAAAAATTGTCAAAATAATGAAGATCAAGTTTCAATCAGGTTTCGTTGATTATTCAACTGCTTATTCAAGCCAAATTAATGTTCTTGGTCTATGCTTAGGCACATTCCTCATTGTTGGCTCAGCTGTCTCGATTATTCCTCAATTAATAAGTTACGTGAAGGCTAGACCAAAATGACTTAGTGCAATCACTCTATTTTTCATAAGTTTTGGTCAATTTTCTCTTGTTTTAAACTACGTAATACTTAATCCAATCGATTTCCTTGCTATTCCTTGTTCTACATTCAAACAAATTTATCCACACCTTATGGCATTCTTAACATTCGTCGCTTTATGGTATACTTTTCTCGGTACAGCTTTTATGAATTTTATTTACTTTGATAACAATCAAAGAGCAAAAAGAACTTCGACTGACATACGAAAAGACAGAATTATAAATTTAGTTGTAACGTTTTTACTGTTTGGCGGAGATTTCTTGGTTTTAATTGTTTATTATTTTACAGCGATGAGTGGCTTTCTATCAATAGCAACAAATTCATACGGCATAGTACTCGGACTTATCTGTTCCGGAATTTCTTTCGTTCAGTATTTACCTCAAATTTATACTACTTGTAAAATCAAAGGACTAGGCACATTATCACTTGCAATGCTCCTGATGCAAGCACCTGGTGGTCTTGCTAATGTATATCTTATTGCTTTTGTTAATAAAAAGAATTGGTCAACATGGCTACCGATTTTTGTTGCTGCCTGCCAACAGATATTGTTGATTTGCATAATTATATTCTTCAAATGCACAAAGAAAGATTATTCTCATCTTTCGGATTCTCTCCTTGATTCAACTGATCAATCCATTACAAACTAATATGCATTGTAATTTTGTCTTTGTCAAGAAGAAATATATGTATATTTTTGTTATTAAACTTTTAAATTTAATTTACTTTCAAAATATATGAAATATTATCCAAAATACTATTACACATAATTAATTTCTTATGTGTTACAAGAGATAATTACAAAATCTAGTAGAAATTACTTGAATGATAAAATATGAAATTTATTAATTAATAATTACAATTATGAAATTCTAAAAAGTGAGCATCAAAGCATACTAGAAACATCAAGATGCTAAATAAATAAAATTTTATATTTCAAATTTAATTCCACTACTTATATCTTTTGATGATTAGTCTAGATATTGTAATAAACAGAAATTCATCAAAAGTGACAGCTCTCAATTTTTTGACATTTGTAAATTCTAAATTGAATGAGAAAAATGAAATAATACTAAGCATAATACAATATTCTAGATTTAATTATAATTAGGAAAAAGTTAGTTTTGAGAGTACTTTTCATAGGCATATAGAATGAAATCTTCTGAAAAATAATATCACATAAACTCATATTATTTTCTAATATATAACTATTTTATATAAAAATCAAATTCAATGATCTTAAAAGCGAAGGATAAACCTCAAAATTTACGAATATAATGAGTGGGAATATAATGCTTATCTATCATAAAACCATATGAAATATTAATTTTTGCTTTACGCCTAATTTTTGACGACAATTAGCAAAAAATGTTAAATGTTAACACTCAGTCCATTTGAATATGAAAAATAAAATTGACTTTGATTAAATGTTTTTATTTATCATGCAATTCTTCTTGCGACCAAAGATTTGAATAAAATTTCAAAAAATAAGATAGCTTAAAAAATAATATACGGTAGTGTTTACTAATAGATGAATAGTATATAAATTCTATTAAAATGGATTTGATCCAAAAAAATATATAAAATTTGATCATAAATAAAATCGTTTTAAATTACTTCTTCATTTAAATTATAACAATTATTTTTGGTTTTATATTTTTTCATTATTACAAAGAATCTTTACAAAATATACATTTACTTTAATTAATATTTAAAAACGTGCTCTATCAAAAGTTCCAAAAATTCAATATTTTAGCTTTTCTGAGGTGTCACTTTTGATGAATTTCTGTTTACAACAATATTAATTCAATGCGTGTGATCCAAACGCAGAATGCAAGAAATAAGAATCTTTTGAGTGTAATAACAAAAATGAATAATACTTGTAATAACCTAAGATGGGAAACAGTCTTAAACGATAATGATTCAGTTATAATTTTTCCAACGACGTCAATTGGCAGAAAAATTTATACTTTACATCACAAAAGAATATTTGAGGTTCAAAGGAGTTCAGTGTCTCAATTCAAATCTGGTCCTTAAGAAGTTCTGGAATGTTAAAGTACCTTTTGATATGGGAACTATTTGAAATAATTGGGTACCATCACACAGTTTTCAGAAATTTGAATGATCAACTTATAATGTTTATGAAATTCAGTATTAAAAATCAAAAAGTGAATTATCGAAGCTTCTGTAATTAGAATATTGATAGCCAACAAAACTTGATTATTCAATATTGATCTTGAGATTCTTATTATTTTCAATGTTATTTCAATACAACATACAATGCGACAATGTATTACTAATTTGCATCATTTTAAAATCATTTTAGTTGTTAATTAAATGAAGCATCAGATATCTCTGTGTATATAACAATTCGAAAGATATTATTTGCAATATTATTAGTTAAAATAGCCAAATGAATCAATAGATTGATTAAATTAATAACAAGAAATGGAATTTTAATTTGATATCAACAGTAAAAGTAATTTCAGCGGAAAAAAACATCATGATGCATTTTCTAAGCTAACTTGATATATTAGCATAATTCCTTTTTTACAAAAATCAAAAATGAAATTCGATAATATTCCATATTAAATTATTACCATAAAATTATGCGCAAAATAAATTAATTTCGATTGATTTTATGCTGTAATTGAAATGGATTACAATTTTTTTAATTTGATATGTTTCAAGAATTTTAATTTCAATATTCTTCCATTTTGCATTCGAAATCAAATAATATTATTAGATTCATACCCATCTAACAAGAAAAACTTTAGTTGAAATTTAATTTCAGTACATGTGCATTTTCTCGTGTTGGAAAAAAGATAGTTTTTTTTTATTTTATGTCAAAAACTGCCATAATTGAAAGCTCTTTTTCAAATTGAATGAAATATCTAATTCGTCTGACGTGTGTCAGGAAACCAAGAATGCATGATTTTACTAAAAACCACATGGCGAATAAGATGCGGCAGTTGGAATGATGAAATATAGCATTTCAACTCAGAAAAACATAATATTGTGATTTTTTTTATAACTCTATATTTTTATGCATTTGAGATTTAACAAACCGAATTCATACTCGTTGTACACTCATTAGGATAAGGTAGTTCATATGGCAATCCTCTCAATTTTGAAAATGCTGTTTGTTATGCATCCGAACTTTTTTTATCGTTTTTGCATTAATATCTTTATCAGTAGAAATTATACCCTTATAATTCGGAATTAATGTGGAAATCAAAATAACGTACTGGCAAAATTTGACATCAGCCGCTATAAATTGATTCTACCGATTAATGCTTTCGGATAACAAAACGTGTTGTGTAAAAATACGTACAATTCAAATAGAGGTTTGTGATTTTTATCGCATGAATGGACTTCGGTTTTTAAACAATCCTAATTGAGTGCGCCAGCAAAACAATCCAAAAGTAGATCCTCTGTTTATATGGTTTAACTCCAATCTAATCGAATGATTCCATTCAGATTTTCATTTTTTCAAAAACTTGACAAACCGAAATAAATCCGCAGTGAAAATATGCTCTTTAAAATGTTTAGTTTTCTTGAGTATCATTGTTAATTAGAATGTTATTGATAATATTATGCATGAATAAAAGTTTTCTGAGTTAGAGAACTGCCCATTTTAACAGTCCATAGTAATATTAGCTCTAAGATAAGATCTTAGAGATGATATGTTCATTAATAACCAATAATATTGGGTACTTCCCATATTATGGAGTTATTAAATTAAAGAGAAAAACAAACCCCGGCATAGTATCGTGACGATAATTTTTTCAGTTTGGCAGACAAATTGTACTTCAATTATTGAAAAATGGAATTTTTTAAAAAGATTTATAAACAAATTGGAGAACAATGTAGGAATAATATTAAAAACATGCAACTCGCACACAAATAAGACAGTTGTATTTGAATTACTCAAATAAATCTGGCATAATGACTTCGTTTTCTTCGAAAATGCCGATTTCATTAGAAACAACAGGATGTGGTTGCACATCATTAACGAATGATTCAATTGGAATATCCAAATCCATGCTATGGTCGTTTATAGTGGTGTCAAAATCTTGGATTAAAGCTTGCTTACCTCCTGTGGCAATTATGTATGCATTTAAGAGATGCATCTTTGCCTTATCCCAATTTTCACAAAACCAGCATATCAATCCTTCATTTAATCTTTTTGCGGTTCTATCTAACTTGACACCTATTTCTTTGGATATGACTTGAGCTAATGGAAGAATATCCGATCTCTTTTTGATTCCTGGAAATGAATTTAGAATTTTTTGTACTACAGGAAATAAAGTTGCGTTCTGGCGCCTTCTTTCTACATTCTTATTGTTATATTTCTCATAGGTTTCACCAATTCTCTTCTTGGATGGTTCTCTTTTGATGACAACTATGGGGATTGGGTGAGACATCTGAAGTAATAAAAAATGTTTAATCTTTAGTATTCAAATTTTTAAATTGCGAACGTTAAACCGCTGAAAATGAAACAATGCATTCGTAATATAAGCAAAGATTCTAAGACTAAAAAAAATTAAGTTTAGAATTTTGAATGCATTTGATAATTTATTCAATTGTAATTGAGTAGTTGAATGAACAATTCAAAATATTCTCGAATTATGTACTGATAGAGAATTAATAAGCTTTTGTTTTTATTTATTTTGAATAATTGTAAAATACAATTTCTTTGAATTTTCAAAAGCACGTTAATCAAGAATGTCAAGTGTTATTCAATTTTTGAATCATGATATTACAACATCAGAGACTAATTTATGTATTACATACTGATTCAATTAAATTTCAATTTAATTATTTTCCAACAACTACCTTCATAAAATTTACGCTTTAATATTATCACAAATAGTAAAAAATACTATTTATTGCATAATTACATTTAAATGTGTTCTTATCAACCAAAATTCAATATATGTACTCTAGTTTTTCACATCAGAATTCAAATTACTCATAAAAACTGCCTGGTCCGGCAAAATATGTCAGGAATAGTTCCAAATCTCTCTAATATAATATAAAGTTATCTTGATATAACAAACACTTAAATTCTATATAGGCACTTGGTTTTGCATTTATTATTTAATTTTCGAAATATTCATCTTTTAATTCTATCTACTTTTATATCACATAGGACAATCATTTTCTTTTAATTAAATCCAAAAAAATAGAATTTAATCTATAATTTCAAATATTTATTCAAAAAATATTAATTTGATTTATCAATATCCTTTTGAATAATTTAGTACGAATTATAGAAGCTGAAAATTGCATTGAAATTGATTTTAAAAGATATTTGTCATCTTAAGGCTCCACGTTCATGCATTCAATTTTGAGAGGGCATTCAATTTAGATTGTGCCTAAAAGCACACTTGTAGCCTCATAGGTTCGCTTTTGGAATGAACAGACACCTGATCCATCATCTACATGATGAGAGGAATCTATTGGTAGCACTCAAATTGAATAAATACCTAATTTGAAAAAACTTGGTTTTTTTCATCCAAAATCAATTTTGGAAAAAATTGAGATATTTACAACACGAATAAACATATTTTCGATCTGATGAGAGATTTGGTAATAACAATATTAGGAGAATGCATTTATCAAATTATTTTTTACTGAAAACGAGTTTTTGTTAATCCCAAATCCGTCCACGCGCATATAAAATTAAAATATCCTTATTGTGATAGTGATGTCAGGGAAACAGCGCTTTCCGAAATCTACGCAGTAGATTTGCAATTTCCGAAAAAAACTGGTGTTTGACGTTTAAAACAAGTAAAATATAAACTATATTATGCTAAAATAATAATTAGAAGATTTAATTTAGTTTTTGTTTCTTTAGCGAATAAAATTTCTTCGAGTTTCTTTTTTGAATAAGAAATATTGGGTAGGAAAATTTTTGCTTCCAAAATTGATTATGTTTTACAGAGTAGTTTGTGACCGCATGTGTAATAATAATATCTCATGATATTTGGCAAATCAAAAAATAAGAAATTTTGTTGACAGTGTATGCATATTAACATAGAGATATTGCTATATTTGAATTTAGAAATCATTTAAAGTTTATTGAGCTTGACAATAAAATATGCAAAATATATTATTAAAGTTCTTGTGAGAAATTGATAAGTTGCAACATAAGAAATTTGATTTTTAATTTAAAATATTTATAATATGAAGATAATGAACATTCTATGTGTGTTGGTCGCGATTAAATACTATCAAATCGATTTTTCCACCGCATCTGCTGTAGTGTAATGGCAAGAGCTTACCATAACACAACATGTTTTCGGGTTCATTTGTGGAAAGCGAATTTTTTTTTCCGAATTGAAAATATGAGGAACCGGAAAGTGTTTCCACTTTTTGAGAGGAATACTTTCTGTTCTTTATTTATTTCGAAATCTATTTGAGATTTAGATCTGGCATTATGAACATAGAATATGTATAATATTTAAAATGAAATATATGAATTAGGAGGAAATTTGGATTTTTTCAAATGATATAATTACTATATTTATAGTAAATATTGAGTTTTTGATGGAAATGAACGGTAAGATGGTTGTGCATGATGAGATCAATAATATTATATTGTTAGTATGTAATTTAAACAATATTTTATAATTTACATTTTTAATTATAGTTAGATAATGAAATTAACATTGTTAGTACAATTGATTCAATAGCTAGTAAAAATGTATATAATAAATCAAGTATGAATTCGGATTTTTCATGAAGGAATTAGAAAGATGAGATTTTTCTTTATTGAAATTTAATAAATAGAAAGTATATTGATGGTGAAACACATCCATAAATATGGGGAAAGCAAATATTAGCAAGATTTCGTAAAATGTTTAGGAGAATGTTGAAAAAGGAGAAATTTTATTTTGAAAAAAATTGATAAAAAATAGAAAATAAAAAATTGAAAAATAGATAGTATATTAATAGATAAATGCAATTATTAAAAAAAACAAATTTGAATTTTGATATGGGAATAAAATTATTCTCACAAATTGTAAAGATTTGAGAGCGTTTTGAAAAAAATCGAAATTATCAAAATGGATAAATTATGAAAAGATTAATTGTGCATTTAAGTTAAATAAAAATATATTTGTAATTGAGATAATATAGGATAATTCAAAATTTGCTTTGAAAATGCATTTGAATAGAAGAAAGAAAAATAATGTTTAAAGAAAAATAATATATAAGGCTGAATATAAAACAATAATTTGAATTCAAATTTACAATAAAAGTATTGTTTTTAAAATCAAAATTGAATAATTTGATTTATTTATTAAAATATATTTGATTTATCTTGTTTTTTTAAAAAAATTACACCTTCTCTCAATTTTTTATTATCCTTTCAAAATTGCCGATCATTTCTTTAAAAAAATTTGGATGAATTAATAATTTGATTTGTCTATTAAAATATATTTGATTTATCTTGTTTTTTTTAAAAATTACACCTTCTCTCAATTTTTTATTATCCTTTCAAAATTGCCGATCATTTCTTTAAAAAAATTTGCATGAATTAATAATTTGATTTGTTTATTACAATATATTTGATTTATCTTCTTTTTTTAAAAAAATTACACCTACTCTCAATTTTTATTATCCTTTCAAAATTCACGATCAATTCCTCAAAATTTGAAATCAACATTATTTATTATATTTAAATTTTGAAGGCATTCTCTTTCTCGTTTGTTTATCTCTTCTTATTCTTTCAGAGATCTCTAAACTATCTATAGCTGGCAAGTTTTTATAACTTGCCGTCATTTTTGCCAGTTCTTCAATTTTTTCATCTGATATTTTCGCTGTATAACAATTATTTAAATATTGGTCTACATTAATTCTTAATTCAGGTTTTTGATTGTTAAGTGCTTCAATATGAGAACAAACGGTTCCGAAACGCTTTGTTTCATTGCAACTGCAAAATCCTTTACCATTGAAGATAAGGATTTTTTCTTCAAATCCAAGCCTATCAATAACTTTAAATAAGTCTTTGATTTCGCTGTAGTGAACATTATATGAGAACGATTTTTTAATTACAAAATCGAGAGGTTATCGATTTTGTAATTTAATCGTCGTCGTTATCGATTTTGTAATTTAATCGTTATCGTCTTTTTCTAAACGTGCATTTTTACATTAAAAGCAATGCAACTCCAAAATTAATTGGTATTTAGACTTTAATTAGGTGCAGACAAACGAAATGCAGTCCAAATATTTTGGTGATATATGAATTACATAAATTTAGGGAAATTGAAATTATATCTTTTTAAATTTTTAGGAAAACAGATTTATAGAATTGTTTAAGTCATCAAAATAATGCAGACTTAGGTCAAATTTTCCAAATTTAATCATTTGCAAGACTTTCAAGCGACTTCAAAATGTCGAAATATAAGTCCAAAAATAAAATTACGATTACAGTCTATCCTCAATTATTATCACGCTAATTATTGAGTGACCCATGCGTTCGTATGTATGTAATACCTTTTAAAAAGGAGATGAGAGAGATAAACTACATTTACAATTTAAATCTGATGTATTTACTTGTTACATTTACAAATGTAAATGTTTCTCGTAATGTTTACATTTTGTAAGTATAACGAATAAAAATGACGCACTTTTTTTACAAAGTCAAATTATGCGAGACAACTTTACTTGTTACATTTACAAATGTAAATGTTTCTCGTAATGTTTACATTTTGTAAGTATAACGAATAAAAATGACGCACTTTTTTTACAAAGTCAAATTATTGTTCGATTTTTGCAGCTTGTAAACGATTAATTGTATAAAGCAATTGATATTAGCACGACATAACTGAATAATTCTAATATTGAAATCAAAAGCCCTTAAAATATCATGATATTTTAATTTCATAACAAATCTAGGAGACTATTTGATGAAAACATATCCGATGTGGGTTTTGTTGTATTATATAACTTGTTATTGACTTCTTAGCTTTCCAAATTTTTTTCGATAATGAGAAAACGAATGAAAAATCAACATTTGGTCCATTTAAAATTTGATTTGTTTACATTTTTTTTACTTTTTGAATTTCAATTTATATTTTCCTCAAGAAATACTTTAGATTTTAAGAAACTAAATCATATAATCTACTAAGAAAATATATTAAATCCTATAATACTCAAAGTTTTGTGATAAATCCGATCTTTTTTATTTTACTTTTATTATGTTTTTGCAAACTTAAGGTCCTCACTAGGTAAAACATAATACTCTTTGAAGTTAAGTATTTTCACAAAGAGAGGACCAACAATATCAAAAGATTGAATAAAGATTTGTATTATTTTATTTATTTTTAAGAACATGTTTGGAAAACACTTACTTCGTTCTACAAATGTGTATCTCTTTATATCAAAGATTCTTCTCAAATTATTGAGAGACTTCTCTCAAAAAAAGGAAAATTTGATAACTAAAAAAAATTATGGCATAACCTCTCGTTTTGCATAGATATATATTTACATGGTCACAGAGCTTATTTTCATTGTCAAAACTTAAAAATTTTTAGTGGACTATACCCTTAATAGGATAAAAAAAAAGAATTTACACTCTCTCACTTTGAAAACGTAGAAAATGCCAATCTATTGGTATACATTTTAGTTTTGTTAAGTTTACAAAACGATTACTCTAGATTTTAAAGATTTATCAAGAATTTAGAGAATATCCTTCTCAAAACAACTTCAATAGCGAAGGATTAGTATTGAATCGGATTTGTAACATAATTATAGTACATTACAATACAATTTCTCCGATTTTTAAATATTTTTGAAATATTTACAAAATATGCTCTTTCTATCATCGATACTTTAATACAGAGCAAATTTAGTAAATGTCATCACGTTATTTTTTCATAAATCGTTTTCGAACTTTTGAAATATTTATTTTAAACCAGTTTTCTACATTTAATATGTGAATTATATCAAAAGTAGATGGGCGATACTTGTAAATCTATTTAAACTATTAGTTTGCTATTATTGAAGAACTTTATAATTTTTTTTTCTTATGTATGGAATTAAAGATAATTTTGCCGATTCCAACTGGTTTTTCTATATGAGTTAAATATGCCAAGTGAAATTGGACTTGCCAATATTGTAAATTGAAGTATGGACTATATATCGATTTTCATTGATTGATGAATAACTCGGAGTAATGTAATTGTTGATAATGAAAAATAGTTTTCAATTGCTGGTAAGGGCCAATGTATGTTCAATAGCTCCGAAAGCAAAAAATGCACGTTTAGAAAAAGACGATAACGATTAAATTACAAAATCGATAACGACGACGATTAAATTACAAAATCAATAATGACCCTACAAAATCGATAATTTCTTTTGGTTGACCACAGTTTTTCAATGCCTCAACTCCATATTTGACTGTTGCATCTGTAAACCAGGCAAAAGCTTCAATAATATCGAAAATTTTTCTTTTTTGGAATTCCCCATTTAAGGCTTCCACAGGTAGCTTGCAATCCTTGGTCAAATGAATTGAACTTAAGGGGATTTGCGTCTTTTAATTTTTTAATAAATTTATCAATTTTTGTTTCCGAATAATTTGGATAATTTTCTGTTATTGATTTTTTGATGTCATTTAATTTGTTTGTATAATCAACAGAGTTTATAGCCAAATTCAAAGACCATATTATTTTTCTACATTTCGAATATTTCACATCTTCGAAAAGGTGAAAAATGCACCTCCGTTGTTTTTGAATCAATCCATTTTCAATTAATGCCCCTTTAATAGCTGTTCCGCCGTCACCCAAGATAATTGAAATGTCATTTTTGGTGATTTTATTGAGAATTGTCTTAAATAAACTAGACATTAGTGGAAGATCTTCTTCCACAGACCAACCATATGCTATCGGAATAGCTCGTCTGGTTGGAGATGTAGTGGCAATTACCCCCATTTTACCCGCACAGATTGTATTGGTTCTAGTGGCATCCACAAGAAGAATATTGTTAAATCTTTCTGATTTAAGAAACAATTCTGATGCCGGTGGTAAAATTGAAATACATTTTATTATAAAGTTTGGATCTTCAATTAATTCGTTAACTTTGTAAATATACTCATTTTTATCATTTTTTTTCACCTGTAGAAATAATGGAACAGCCTCCTGATTCAACAATATGATTATTCAATGAAATTAGTTTTTTGAAACTATTCACTAAATCAGAATCTGTAATATGAAAAATTGCTTTTACACGTTTTCGAAAAGTATCTTTTCCTATTTCCCTTTTGAATTGTTTTTGAACGATACGATGAAAATTTGTAAAATTATTACTGATAAATGATTCATTATTTGATTCAATAAGATAATCTAGTTAGTATACAAGTCTTGGGTATGGTGGCACTGCGTTCCACCTTACCCAATACTTGTGAATTTGACACTTTACAAAACCGTTAACGTATATTTTACAACACAAACGACAACACTAACTTAACCTTAAATATTTACAAAGCCGCCAACCACTTCACTAACGAACTCACTAATGTAAAAAATAAACGTTCTCACTATCGTTCTCACTAACGACTTCACTAATGTTCTCATAAATTTTCCTCAATATCTTCATCATCAGTGTTAACCCTATTGTAGTCATACTTGAAGCCATAAACTTTCTCTAACTTCTTAACGTACAATTTACATAACTTACCTTCGTCATCGTATGGTTTAATGATATAACTATTTCTATCTTTATACACAGTCAATGAAAAGTCAACTGGTCTCGGATGTATTTGAAAGAACATGTTATGCTCAGGAAGGAAGAATAAATGTTTAAATGTATGTTTGTTATACTGTGGAATTCGAATGAGTTGCTTTTGTTCTGTCATTTATATAAAATTAAAATAAAAAATAAATTTAAAATTAATGATATCACCACCCTCACACGTATGAAAACATAGCACAAAAATATATTTAGGTGAAGTGGTGAGATCTCACCTCTTTTTTCACCTCTTTTCTCACCCTGTTGAATTCATTGCTTTATAACTCTCTTCCTTGGTTTCTTTTTAGTTGCTTTCTTCACGTCTGTCTCCAACTTGACTGTCTTTCTTCTTCGTCCGTAATGATACCAGTTACTTCCACCAGTCAATGGGTCAAATGGTCTTTCGTAAGGGTTTCCATACATTCCATAGGGACCATACGGAAGAACTACTGGTGGAGAAGAAACATTTTCTTTAGTTCCATCGAATCTATTTAAATGCATTGTTTCACCTTTCATCTGGTCATTAAAGTCTTTTGCGTGTTTTGCAAACTCATCGTCCTTTCCTAAAGCATTTTCTGACTCAGTCGCAACCAAATTGGATGCTTTATTTATGAGCCCTATTTTATTTAATCTTAACTTCTTTGCAACCCAGCCTCCAATCTTTCCTTTATTTGCATCTAATGTCTTCGAAACCCTTCCTCCACTCATTTTATTTACTGCGTCATAAGCTCCAAGTGCTTTTGCTCCAAATGCTAATGCTTTTGTTCCCATTGCGCCTAAAGCTGCCCAAGCTACCATTTACACCATATTAAAATCATCTCTCTTCAATATTATCTCATAAAAGTTCTCGTTACTGGAGAAAGTCAATGAAACATAAGCGTTCTCACGGGCTTCGCCCTCACCGCTTTGCGGTCTATCTAACTTATTTCTTATATCATCTATACGCTTCAAAATGTCTGAACAATTGCTAACATCTTCTACAACAGTTATTTCATCATGAATGACCTTCAAGAACAAGCTCATTTAATATGCTATTAAAATCATCTCAATAATGAGTCCATCCTTTCCATCTTTAGGTAGCACAACATCTTTCATTGAAGAAGGTTCGACAAGTCTTATGTTAAACTTACTGACAAAGTTTGTTATACTATAATGCTTCGGCGGCGAATACATGTAGTTTGAAAGACATAATATAGATTCTTCAGCAAATTCACTTATACTGGATTTTATAACAATGTTCTCACGAGACCAAATACCACCAATTGACAATCTTGTAAGCAATCCTACTGAACCTTCTACTGTAAACGTCGATGGTAACATTCCACGAAGGTCATCTATTGACATCTTTGAGTCACTGTATTTAAATATTTTCTTAAAGCAATCGTCATTATCTAACCATGCAATAGCTTTGAAGTTTTCATTCGAATATACATCTGCTTCATTAAATGTAAAACCTGACTTCTTTGCAGAGACGACTTTAAAATCTATTGAGTTTGTTTCAAAATTATATGCTATGGTAACTTCTGAAGGTAATGGATGTCCTTCCGCAGTCAGTTGTTCTCTCACTACCGTTTGAAGCTTTGTATTAAAAACTTTCATGTCATCTCCTGTATCTAAGTTCACATACACAGCAACAGGGAAACTATCTTGCTTCTTTGTTTCATCATTATATCTCAAAACATTAAAGTTCTTCAATAATATTGTCCTTCCTGCTGGAATACTTCTAACTTGTCTTATTTCAATAGCTTTCTCACCTCCTACATACTCTACCCAGTGTCTTGGATATTCATAAGTATACTGACTTTCTTGAATTTTGGTTGGTTTCATCATAACATGTTCATAGTATATCTTTATACTCTTGTCAGTTAGACTCGGTGCTATGTTCTGAATATTTCTGACTTGCATTTTTAATGGAGATAAAATGAAGCATTTAATACATGACGTAGATGAAGACATGAATGAAACTACAGACAAACTTAACTCTTCTCTCATTCTTCCTTTCAGTAAGGACTATGAGTTCTGTTCAAATGGTGTTTATTTCTATTGTGGAAAGATGGGTTCGGGTAAGACATTTAACCTCATTCGTCATATACTCATAACAGAACGTTTAGGAAATGACTCATATTATGACCAAATCATTATATCAGCAACTTCAGACTCTATGGACTCAACAGCGAAAACATTTATGTCAAAAGTTCAAGCCTCTGTCGTTAAAGTTCCAGACAGTGAACTCATTGAATTTCTTCAACGTTACATTCGACGTAAGAGGAAATATTATGCCATCGTAGAGTTCATACAGTCAGGAATGCAAAAGACTTCTGAGGAGATGGAAAGAATTATTGACAAACACCACTTACGTCAATATTCAGGAGTTTACGATATGAAACGACTTACAAACTACATTCTGTCAAAACTTTCAAAATACCCCTTCAAAAAGTATCCTTCAAACACTCTGCTCGTTTGCGACGACTTCGCCGGAAAAGGTTTAGTGTCAAAGCCTGACTCACCATTAGCTAACATCATAACTAAAGTCAGACATTACCATTTAACTGTAGCAATACTTATGCAAACATGGAGGTTTTTAGCTTTAAACATAAAACGTCTCATAACTGACTTCGTTATCTTTCAAGGTTTCTCACGCTATGACATTGAACTCATTTGGAAACAGTCAGGTATAACATTACCTTTTGAAGAAATTTGGGAAGCATATAAGTCTCTCATCTCTCCTCGTTCATACCTTGAGATTCATATCATGACTAATACCATTAAAGTCAAAAATATTCCATGGGAACGACCAACATTGTTTTAAAGTTTAACCTTCAATTGACTGATGGTAAACAAATTCCATGCATCTCTGTCGCCATTTCTGTTAATATTTTTGCTGTCATTCATATCATCCACTTCCCATCCGTTAACTTTTGAGGATATGCGTTAGAATAGCTGTTCTTAAATGAAGGCTTTTCACCTTTGAGAGCATAAACTCTATAACTTTCTGCATACTTTATGTTTGAACCTCCTGAGCCATCATTGACATAAATTTTTATAGGCTTCCACCCTTTGTTCATGTTCCTGCTTCTTCCCTTTGCTCTTTTGTTCAGTAGTTCTACATCTTTATACACAGCTCCTGTCTCAGTGAATTCAACAATATTTTCATTCGTTAGCTTTACATTCAAACCCTTGTCGAGTATATTGTTCATTTCATACATATAAAAGGTTTTTATTCTATATGAAATGAGAAGCAAATCCATCTTAGCTGGTGCCGTTAATGTTCCAATTGAACCAACATCAAATGTTGACTCACGAACGACAAACAATATTGTCATAAAGAACTATAGTTCAGAGTGTTTGAAAGAAAAAGAACCAGAACTGAAATCCGTGAATTTAAACTCAGCTTCAAACGCTAACGCTACATCAGATGTTAAGTTAGAGTATCCACCACTGGACCAAATTCTTTCAAGAGAAGCCAACGACAACCCTTACACAAATGTTCAAACAAATCCTTCAGATAACGTAGACCATTACCTTCTTCAGTTATACCAAACAATTTTACTCAAAGACGATAAGAAGCTTTTGACAAATCTTATAAGCAAGAACCAAATAATTCTAACAAAGGAGGACCTTGAAAATGTTATATCACGAATAACAGGGAAACAATGTGTCATTGACTATCTCGACCCTGAAATCGAATGCTGTGGTCAAACTCCACTATTCATGAAAATAGGTAACATCCGCATCATTGAAACACCAGGAACTACAGGAGTTGAGTTTAAGTATAAATATTCGAACGAGTATACAAAACTTTCAACAGAATATAAGCTTTGTTTGAAATATGTTTTAGTAAATTAAAGCAACTTATAGTATCTATCCAAAACTTCTTCAACACTATTGAACTCATCTTCATAATGCAAACCTAATCTTATTGACTTGGTGCAGTTTTCACTAACACAATATTTTTCTGTTCTCTTGACTGACATAACTAACTCATTTGTTTCATCAAACAGCAACAACCAAAGTTCATGACCTAATACATAACATTCATACTTTATATTTTTAGCTCTGAGTTCTCTTGTAAGCTGTTGCATTTAATATTTTCTAAAAAGTCAACTTCAACAGTCATTCGCACTGGTGCCTTCAGTTCTACAGGCTCTCCTTGAAAGTCAACAAGTCTGAATTGCATGTCTTTCAAATTATGAGGACTAATGCGAACCCATTTACCTAAATGAGTTGCTATGACAGGAACGTTTGGAATGAACATTGAATTGACTGCATAACAGAAAGACTTATATTCTACTGAACCTTTACTATTAACTCCTGAAATGCCTGTGACATTAGCTATTTTAGACTCAATGTATAAACAATTACCATAACATACGTATGGAACAGATTTCATCTCAATCGTTTTGTCAACACTTTTCAAAGGAAATGTCATATGGTATGCACCCAAAAGAAGTTGTACTCTATGACTCATTCTTGGTATCTTAAACTCCTTCGCATAACTGAACTTCAAAACTCCTGCAATAAGTTTAACATTCATTAAGTTTTCTTCGTTATCCTTGTTTATTGTAGTACTTATGAGAGCATTTAACACTCCAGCTAATGTTTCCATCTTATATTCTACATTATTGTGAAATCTTATTTCGTGCTTCTTTCCATCTATTTCAAACTCCATGAAATCTGTTTCGTCAGTTATAACGAATGAAGCAATAGTATTGAAGTCAACAACTCTGAAAGCAAGTGCTTCATTCTGAAGACCTAAGTTTGTTTGAAGCTTTACTGTTCCATATTCGTTTGGGTCTGTACTTTGCAAATAGAACAACATTTTATTCTCATTAAAATATGACTATTGCTGCATATGCGTATGAAACAAATGAAGCAAGAAGAGCACATGAACTAGTAAACGAAAACTCAACTTTAACCATTGAAGGCAATGATTTAGTCATTGACGATGGAAAAACTAAAAAAGTCATTGATTTCGATACTTTTAACACTTATGACCCATTCATTACAATAAGTAAAGTTCCTATCATAAATGATGGAACGGTGCAATATATAAATTCTACAGTAGATGCCTCATTAGTGAAAGTATTAAATGTTCTCATTGAATTGTTAAAGAGCTTTCGATTTGACGACAACATTAAATGCCTAAAGAATTTAGTCATGAATGAGAAACAAATTCTCGGCGTTGCTGGTAGCAGTAATGATGTACACCTTATGACATTAGAATATTATAACGAACATAAAGATGAACTGAAAGGAGAGAGGGTGACACCGGACCACAAGGACCACAAGGAATACAAGGAATACAAGGAATACAAGGACCTCAAGGCGAAAACGGTTTGGATGGAAAGGATGGAAAGGATGGAAAAACTGCTAAATCATGGATATGGGACCTTATAAATACTGGTTTAACAGCTGCTTCATATGGAGTTCTTCAATACCAAATCGGAAAGATATGGGCAGTACTTGGTGAAGAAGCTTTAGATGACGTTAAAAATGCTTTGAACTTCATTTCAAATGGTTCGGATACTATTAAACTTTATCTGGTTGGATGCAAGAAACAAGGAGTCAAATAGATACTGTAAGACGTATAGCAAACAATGCACGTACGGGATTGGATACTTTACGAGAAGCACAAAATACACTAAAGGAAGCAAATGATATTCTTGGCTCAGTATCAGACATGCATGAAGATTGGCTTAAAGGTATTGACAAATCTTTAAAAAATCACAGTCAGTCTATTGCTGACTACAAGAAAAGTATAGATTTTTTACATAGTGCTATGGACGTACATGATGGAAGCATAAGGAACTTACTTAATGCTAACAATAACTTACCAGGAACTATTAAAGCATTTATAAAGTCCTTTGTAAAACCCGGTGCTCTAACATTTAGGTCTTTGAGAGCAAGAGCATTGAAGTCAAGAGATGCAGAAACTCCAGAAGAACCACCAAAACCAACAGCTAATGAAATATTGTTCGAATATTTTCCAAGGTACTCTGTTCTCATTGCATACATTCAAGAAATACTTAAGAAAGCAGACTTGACTTTAGGAGATGATGAAAGTTCTGTATATCTTTCGTTCCAGTTTCAAATAGCAGAACTTTTGAGACAGATATGCTTAATGTATGACAACATCTCTGATTTCACAAGATATGATGACGACCATGACCCGAACACGGTGAAGAAGAAGTTTTACAAACATCCATTAAGACAGGAAAGGTTTTAACTCAAAGTCTCATTATTGACACCAAAGATGGCGAAGTGGACGTTCTTCAAGAGCTGAAGAAAAATACTTCTTCGGGAGGTGGTGGTAGGCATGAACTTGAAATAAATGAGATAGAAGAGAAATTAGCCGAAAAGCAGATAAAGAACATAAACACAATATCTCCGATATAAATGAACTTCAAGCTACATTAAATAGTAAAGCAGATAAAAACCATGTTCATTATATAACTTCAGACGAACAGATTATAACGGACTACCATGGATATTTAACACGAAGTGATGAAGCGAAGACAAAAAATGTTAATGAAAGAAGATATAAATACATTCGTGCTAAAGGTTATGACATAAGCTGTACTGTACAGTATGATGTAGCTAAAGCACCAGAAGCATTTGGTTATACCGGTGAAATTTATGCCTCTACTTTCAATGTTAACGGTGTATTAGTTGAACCAAGATTTACTTTGAGAGTTAAGGCAAAAATAACGTTTGAAGATGCTATTAAAAGTAAAGCTGACAAAGTTGAACTCGAAGCAATGAACAAAGTTTTGAAATCTCATAAACACAACATCTCCGATATAAATGAACTTCAAGCTACATTAGACAGTAAAGCCTACAAGAACCATACACATGAATCCTTCACTACTGTTAGAGCAGACGACATAATATTGAACTTTGACCTTGGTTCAAGTGCACCATTAGAAAATCCAAGTACAAGCGTAAAAGATACTCTTAACAATTTAGATAAGAGTTGCAGGAATATTGAAGATCATGCCAGAAACTTTGAAGCATATGAACTACCAGCAATGTTAGATAAGAAAGCTGACAAGAACCATACACATAAATCCTTCACTACTGTTAGAGCAGACGACATAATATTGAACTTTGACCTTGGTTCAAGTGCACCATTAGAAAATCCAAGTACAAGCGTAAAAGATACTCTTAACAATTTAGATAAGAGTTGCAGGAATATTGAAGATCATGCCAGAAACTTTGAAGCATATGAACTACCAGCAATGTTAGATAAGAAAGCTGACAAAACAGAGCTTCAAACATTAAAGACAGAAATACTTCAAACATTATATCCTATAGGTTCTATTTATACGTCAATGAACTCAACAAATCCAGCAACAGTTCTGGGTTTCGGTACGTGGGAACAGATTGTAGATAAATTCTTATACTGTGCTAGATATTCAAAGCAAACAGGAGGTTCGAAGAAAATTACTGAAGCAAACCTTCCACCGCACACTCATACAGGAACTACAAACTTTTCTGGCGACCATAGCCACTCATTAAGAGACCACCCATTATACAACTCAGAGTATGAAGCTGGCAATGACGTTTTATCTCCATCTTATAACAATGCAGCAAAAAAGACTTTTCGACCAACTGAACCAGGAGGAAATCATTCACATACTTTCACAACAAATCCAACAGGCTCGGGTGCAGATTATATGCCACCATTTGTGACTATATTCGCATGGTACCGCGTTCAATGAACGCGCTTGAGTCTATAATAAAATCTTTAACTTTACATAAATGAGCTTGAAAGAAGTATTCGAACAACATCCATGGAGGTCATTTAAGAAGTTCAATGAAGCTGCAAAGAGTTGGGGATTTACTAACAGAGCTGAAGTGAAAAGGTTCTTTGACAAAAATGTTGTACATCAAACAAAAATAAACCCTTACGACTACTTTTTACCAATTTACTCCAACACTCCTGACGCATACCAATTTGACACTCTCATTCAAAGCAGAAAAGGAGGACATAAACCATTCCTCATCTTCATTAATGTTAACACTCGCAAAGCATATGCATATCCAATGAGGAATAAAGGAACTCGTGAAGTGTTAAGAGTTTTACAAAAGTTTGTAGCAGAACATAGCCCAAGTACTTTAACATCAGACCAAGACAGTGCATACCTCAGCAATGAAATCACAGATTTTCTCATTAAGCATAACAAACTCACTACACTACTGAAGACCATAACCATAACATACGCGGTATCATTAATCGCTTCATAAGAACGCTCAGAGATTTAAATCAAGAGCGAGACTTTACCGAAGAAACAATGAAACATTTTCTCGAAGTATATAATTCCTCAACACATTTTACAACAGGACATACACCAAATTCAATGACACAACAACAAGAAGAAAAGTATATACAAAAGAAACGAATCCAAACACAAAATATCAGAAATTCAACACAATTTACCCTCATTCCTGGTACAAAAGTTCGTGTAGTTCTTGACGACAAACCGTTGACAAAGAAACGTTTAAGGTTAAGTAGAAACTATTATATCGTAGACTCTACGCAAGGTAATGGATATCTTATAAAAGCTGCTGACGACTCTATTGCGTTTTACCCTCGTCACAAATTAGTTGAAAGTAGTAATGGCAAACTTGCTGAAACCATTGACGAAGCAAAGCGAGGAGTGGTTATTGAAATACTTGGCTATAACATAAACGATGACACTTATAAAGTAAGATATGAAGGAGGCGTTGAAGATGTTATACCATCTAAGAACTTGAGAGAGTCAAAGCCAACACATCTGGGACCATTAGAGCGGGAGTACTGGAAAGACAAAAATATACCAGAAAGAATAAGAAAATTCTTCTAAACTTTTTCATTAGATGTAAATCAGACATGAACGAGAACAGTCATGATATCATTAATGGTACCATTTATTTTTGTCATAAATTTACACCAAAAATATATTTTAGGTGAAGAGGTGAGATCTCACCCGTTTTTTCACCTCTTTTTTCACCCTCACGAATTTTCATGAATTTCCTTAAGATAGAAAAAATAAAGTTAGTTTTATTTTTATTTATTTTTTTATTTTGTATGTAAAGACAGTAATGTCAGTCGAAGCAAAAACATTCACTAACAAATCTAATGGCGAAACATTCACAAAAGGCACTTATAACGGTATTGAAGTCTTACGTAGAGACAAGGATGGTTACATTAATGCAACAAATATGTGTCAGCAGTTTAGGAAAGACTTTAGAAAGTTGTTGGAAAATAAGTCCTGGGAAGAGTATTATAAGGCATTTTGTGAAGAATATAGCAACCGTCTGAATTCCGGCGGTTGCTTTTTATACAAAATTCATGCAGGAATTCCTGATGAAATCAAACAGGTTAGAGGAACGTATGTAGACCCAAGACTTATAAACTATATAGCAATGTGGACTTCTCCAAAATATTGCATAGCAGTTGGAAAAATTATGGACTCCATAGACAAGAAAGTTCATGAGAAATTAGATGAAGAAGAACTCGAAGATACAGTAGAGAATGCTAAACATTTGTTTGAAGAAGAAGTTAGAAAAACGTGTGAAAAACAATTAGAACATGAACGTGAGATATGTTATGGTTATAGAGATTCTTCATACGAACTAGACCAATGGGAACAAGAAGATTTAAAGAGAGAATTTAGAGAATATGAACTCGCTAAGATAGCATTAGAAGCTGCAGAAAAGAAGTTAAAAGTTTGGGGTCGTTTTGTACAAAAATATTGTGAGTAAATGAACCATTTATTTTTATCATAAACGACCAAAAATATATGTTTACGTTAATGTTTTTAGGTTATTCAATAATTAATTATTTTGAAGAACTGAAGGTGTCACTCGGTTAATTAACATCTCTGAAAAATGATGACAACATGACATCACATTTTGACGAAGTGCAAATCTTCACTTCGTGTCAAAATGCAAAAAAATAATGCTGAAAATGAAATATATTTTTGGTCAAAGCTTCCACGAGAGAAAAGATTCCCCATTCGCTAAGGATTCCAAAAATGAAAAAATCATTGATTTCGGCTGAGAAAAACGCAAAACCCTTCTTCCACGGGAACAAAGAAATAAAGAAGAAATAAAGTAAATTTTTTATTTATTCACGTGGAAGATAGAGCACTTTTATGACACTTTTTATTCACGACAAACAAGACAAACAAAGAAAATAAGAAAATACGGCGCTGTCGCGGTTCGAACCACAGACCCTGACCCCTCCATAACACCACCTTAGACCACTGTGCTACGTAGCCTGTCGACATAAGATTTTATAAATTGCATATTTGACGTAAATTTATTTCCATCTAGCTTCCCACCGCATAAGATATTCATACGTGTTTGTAAGACATTCATTAAACTTCTTTTCTATTGCATCTAATCTTGCGTTATTTTTTTCAATAACTTGTCTGTATTCTTCATCATCTCCAGCAGTGTTTGGGTCTTCACGTTTAAAATATTCATTGTTAACCAATTTTTTATCTACAAATTTTATTAGTGTTTGATTCACTTCGTTATGATAACGGTCATATTCTTTCAATACGTAAGTGAAGACAAAATGCGTCGTACCTTCAATCTTAAAGCTTAAAGAACTTTCAACACAGTTTTGAGGGTCTGTCAGTGCGTCAATGAGATAGTATTCGAAGTCAGTCAATAATCTTTTTAAAGTCATTTCATACAGGATAAAATTTAATGTTGTGAAGAAATAGTGTTTATCTCAGAAAAAATAAAGTTAGTTTTATTTTTATTTATTTTTTTATTTTGTATGTAAAGACAGTAATGTCAACATCAGAGAACACAACAATTGCTATCGTTCATGAAGCCATAAATGAAGAATACGAGTACATACAGTATAACAAACAGTTACGTCTTATTCGTTCAGTCAAAGATGACATGTACCAAATGCAAAGTATTTTGAATGCTCTTCTTTCTACAAAGCAAGCATATCATTGGTTTGAAAACCAACAGGCAAAAGAACTTTTAGAAGAATTTCCTCATATGATTGCTTCCCTCGGAAAACCGAGGGAAGAGATTCCGTACGAAAATCGCAAGAATTTGGCTCCTGGTTTGAAAGGTTATTATGTTCATAGACTTTTAGTAAATGCTGTAGCAATGTGGGCTTCACCTCGTTATGCTTGTTATATTTTCATGATGTTAGATGAACTATATAAAGCAGAACGTGGAGAGATGGAAAAGAAACTTCAAGCAAAAGATGAAGTCATTGAATCCAAAGACAAAAGCATACAGAAAAGAATACCACGTTCAGTACCAAAAGGAAAGGAAAAAAGCTATAAGTATATGATTTACGCTGAAGAGTTGGAGAAAGAAGAAGATAGAGATATGGTTATGTTGCATTTAGTGAGAAGAAACAACAAGAGCTTTTATGACTTAGCTAAGATATATAAATCTGACAGAAACTGGTTCTATCGTGAAAACTTACCGATTTCAATGACACCGAATGAGCAAATAAAGGAAATTGTCAAAAATACTCTTCCTCAAACACACTATGACATCAAAGGTTGCACAATACTTACATTTAAAGAAGACTTAACATTACTGAAAGAAAAGATAACAGAATATTTCGACAACTTCAAAGAGGAAGAATGAAAACTTACCGATTTCAATGAAAAACATTAACTTTTTTTGACGAAGTGAAGATTTGCACTTTGTCAAAATTTAATGAAAAACATTAACGTAAACATTAACGATAAAATTTATTTCCTGGACTGTTGTCAAAATGTCATGTTGTCATCATTTTTAAAAGAAGTTAATTAACCTGGTAGCACATGGTGACGTGGTGACACTTTCAGTTATTCAAAAATATATTTTTGCTTAAATAACTTCAGGGTCAATTTCTTCAACCATTTCACTTCCTTCGTCAATGTCAATTGAAGCTTCTTCAACCTTTGGTAAGAATTTCTGTATAACATCTTTGTTCGTTATTGTCTTCAGAGATGAAGGATAATATTTCACATTTGTTTCACCCTTCTTATATTCTTTCTGTTCGGAAAGATTTAAAGCAATACTGAAGAAGTCAATATTAGAGTTCTTTATAACAGTATAATGAGTATCTTTGACATTCACGAAGAAACTCTTTTGTTTCAAAACTACTGCTAACTCTTGTGAAGTATAACGTTTGCGGTCAATGACGATAGCTAATGGTCTGACATACTGACCAAACTTAGATTCTTTCACAAACTTCTTGTTAAAGATAACATTAACATTTGAAGCATTATTGAACTCATTCTTGATGGCAGTAGCGAGAGCATTGTATGAAAAGAACTTGCAATCTTGCATGTGTTTCATTAAAATAAAAATATTAAATTATTTTGAAAAATAACTTTAAAAAATCTAATCTAATTTTTTCAAAAATATTTTTTTATTTCCTACTAAAGATGTATCGGAAGTTGTCTAAGTTAGAACACTCGGAAATAAAACAACTTCTTACAGAAGCTAACATAGAAGTAGCAAAGCATTACGCAACAAACAAAAAAGCACTCGCTGACATCCTCAATGACTATAATGGTGCAATAAGTTATGATAGAATTCATGAGTTCATAAAGCCGCAACGCGGCGAGGACGAAGTCCATGCAAGAGCATTTCCTTTAAATGACGTTGCTATTGACTTATATCATAGACGTTCAGTACCTCATGAAGTAAGAAGAGAAATGTTTGACATAACAAATGCAAACGTTGGTCATACTCGTAAAGCTCTTTCGCATGATGTTCGTCAAGAGATGTTTGACATAACAAATGCAAACGTTGGTGAAACACGAAAGAGAGACGACACACTGAAACAACAGAGAAGAGAGATGTTTAAGAGCGCTATAGAACAAGTTCGCAAAGCTAACGATGTCATTCGTTCCATTGACGACAAACCAAAAGAAGGTGAGAGATGGTTAAAGAAAGATGAAGAGAATAGGAAGAGAAATGTGAAGTCAGGCAATAGACTCATTGACTTTAACATCGAAGCTTTAGATGAACCAAACAGAGACTACTTACACAAACATTTCGGTAAGGTTTTCATGAGACTCTTAGAGAAGATTAAAATAAACTCCCAACAAAGATGGATGGTATGTTATAAACTTGGTGGAAAGTATGAATGTTCTACGTTAAACCTCAATAATATTGGAACATTACTACATCAGCTCTTGAAGGAGAACTTTATATCAGAGATAGAAGCAAATGCTGCAGGTATTGTTGAAATGCACTATGACTTCTTCTTGACAAACATAAAGAATCTTACTGAAATAAAGATGTATGATTTAACTGAATATGAAGGCTTAACGATGTCAGATGTAAAGAAAGGCAAACCAAAAAAGAGACCATATAGAGATGAAAGCACACTGACAGAAAGACAGAAAAGATTATTGAACAGACTTAAACAAACAGGAGATAAACAAGATATAGATGACTTCTGGAATGAAATCCTTGGTGAAAAGAAGTTTTATAAGAAGAGAAGCGGTCAGTTCTGGAAGTATCTTTGCACATTACCTATAAATCTTGAACGCTACCAAATCTTCAATGAACTGAACAAAAGAACTGCAACACTTATGACAGAGGACAATTGTTTCGTTTATGCTTGCATTCAGGCTGGAGTAAATGAAGAAACTATTGACCACATGAGAGAAGTCATTCGTGTTAGAGACTTTCCTCAAAGTAAAGTACAAGAAATTTCTGACGCAACAGGTATAGCATTTAATGTTACCATTGGTTATTTCAATGACTCAAGACATAATGAAATAAAGAGATACATACCAAAAGAATGTAAAACTGTTCGAACTATTGACTTACTTCTTGTTGAAGACCACTACATGCTAAACGAAAGATTACCAATGACAACATATTTCATTCGCAACTATATAGAAATCTTGAAAGTGTGGTGGAATGAACATTGAGAAAACAGATGAAATTATACAAAGAGAGATGATAAATACATTGTTCGCATGGATAGAACTACACCGCTATGGGATGTTATGAAAACATTGTGGGAGTGCAAATATTTCGAACCTATTTCTTATGGAGAACTTTTCACATATACGACTGACTTATATAAACAGAACCTTGCACCATTTAAAGATTTGACATATGCTCCAAAGTATTGTGTACAACTGAAGAAGAAAGCAGAGTCAAAAGAAGTAAATAAAAATAAGTGCAAGTTCATTCCTGAGCATGTTTTCTTTGCTGACTTTGAGTGTAGTACCGATGGCTTTCATAAAGCTTTTAACATCTGTTATGACAGTGAAGATGGTTCAGTGAGTGAAAGCATATGGGGTCAAAACTGTGCAACAGAATTTTTGGAGCGACTTCCTGACAAGAGTTTAATATATTTCCATAACCTCAGCTATGATATAAACTTCATCTTAAGACACATGACAGAAGTGAAAGGAACTCCCATCATTAAAGGTTCACGAACAATGCAAATAACTGGTTTATATAAAGGAAGGGCAATTATTATAAAAGACTCTTACAGTGTTATAAATAAGAAGCTTAAACTATTTCCTGCTATGTTTAACTTACAAACAGGACCGAAAGAAGTATTTCCATACAACTACTACAGCAGTGTTTTGTTAGCAAATGACAACAGAACTGGTGTCATTTCTGAAGCATGTAAGTTTGTAAAAGATATTGAAACGTTCATGAAGAACATAGATTCCATCAAAGGTTGCAGAATAGATGAAAACCACTTCGACTTAGAAAAATATAGCACGTTTTACTGCAAACAAGATGTAAGAATTTTAAGAGAAGGTTTTGTAAAGTTCCGCAATGACTTATTGAAAGAGTTTGATTTAAACGTTTATGACTACGTTAGTATTTGTTCTATTGCTAACAAATTGTTTGAGAACAGAGTGTACTTCCCGAATGGAAATCTTTATGACCTCTCAAATAAACCAAGAGAATTTATTTCAAGATGCATTCAAGGTGGAAGATGTATGTTGTCAGATAACATTAAACAAAAGAGCAAAAAGAAACTCATTGCTGACTTCGACGCTGTTTCATTATATCCATCAGCTATAGCAAGACTTTATACTTTAGAAGGAATTCCAAAAGTATTGAAGGATGAGATGTTAAGCACAGAGTATCTCATGAGACATTTATTCGATGACGACCAAAAGGAACCCATTGGTGAAAAGTTTATGTCTGGCTTCTTTGTTCTCATTAAGATAACAGAGATTGGAATACATAGACACTTTCCTTTAATAGTTTGTGACCCTGAACTAAATCCAGAACTTAACGTTCCCAGAAGTTCAAACACTTGCTGTTTAATGTATGTTGACCATATAACATTACAAGACCTTATAAAATATCAAGGTGTCAAATGTGAAGTGTTGCAAGGATATTACTACGATGGAAACAGAGATATTAGAATAAGAGATGAAGTAAAGAAGTTGTTTGAGTTAAGGTTAAAGTATAAGAAAGAAGGAAATCCTTTGCAAGAAAATATAAAGCTCATTCTGAACAGTATTTATGGCAAAACTATTCTATCTCCTATTGAGTCAAAAATAACCATAGTAGATGACAAAGATGCTATAAGATATGCCATCAGAAACTACAACCATATAGTGAAGTTCGAAGGTTTGGATGGTTCAGATAAAACTATTTTCAAGCTAACGAAAAGCATTTGCAGACACTTTAACTTCTGTCCACTTGGTGTTAACATTCTGTCTATGTCAAAACGTATTATGAATGAAGTGTTTTGCACGATTGAAGACTTAGGATTAAAAGCATTTTATCAGGATACAGATTCGATGCACATTTACAATGAAGACATACCACGTTTAGCTCATGAATTTAAGAAGAGATACGGTAGAGAACTTATTGGTAAAAACCTTGGTCAGTTTCATAGTGACTTCGCAGAAATAACACCTGGAAAACAAAGTTTAGCATACAAGTCAATATTTTGTGGAAAGAAGACTTACATAGACTTACTCACTAACGATTTAAATGAAGTTGCATTTCACTGCAGAATGAAAGGCGTGAAGCAAGATGTTATTGCTTTAACCGCTAATGAAATGTTTCCTGAAGCTATACAATGCTATTACAATGAAGATAAAGGTTTAATGGTTCCGCAAGGAAAATTTGACAAAGACTCTGAGTTCAGTGTCATGAAACTTTATAAAGCACTTTATGACGGTCAAGAGATTGGATTTGACTTATGTAAGTCTTCTAGTCCTTGCTTTGCTGAAAAGTTTAACTTCTCAATAACGACTAAAACAAGCTTTATTCGTAAGTTGAAGTTCTGAGGTCATTTATTTTTGTCAGCAATGAGGTCATGAATGAGGTCAGCAATGAGGTCATGAATGAGGTCATTTATTTTTGTCAGCAATGAGGTCATTCATGATAAAAATAAGCCGCTAGCGGCAAGGGCGAAGCCCATGTGGTCATTTACAATACTGCGATGGTAGAGTTTAAGAGTTGTGCTTCAATGTAGAGACAGTCCTTATGGTCTGGAGGTAAGAACACTGGGCAGTTATGGTCATGAGTGGAGAACATGTCTATCCAAAACTCACGATTGAAGCCAGTTAATTTATAGTATTTAGGGTTAGGAAGTGGTGTAGTTCTTGTATGACCAATGAACTCATTTTCAACTCCCTTACTTAAGTTTGAATATAATATAGCTTGCTTTCTATCCCAAATGCCAGGTGTTACAATCTTTGAAAATTCATTTTTCCTCGGAAGCATTGCATCATAATTGAAAACATTCTTGAAATCATCACTTGGTTCAGAGATTTGAAATCTTATACGTAATGGATTTTCTTTCTCTTTAGCTACTTCATTGAATGGTGAGAATACAACAAACTGACAGTCATGAGTTCCATCTTCATTTTCATTAAATTCATAATGAAAGTCTATAAGTTGTGGCTGACTACCTTCTTCTTTCAGTTGTGCAAGAAACTCACGTAAAGGCTGTAAAGTTTGTACTTCAATGTTAACTTTTTCTCGAACATTCATTAAATGAAATCATACATTGCAACAATGTTGTATCGTCTTTAAAGTATTTGTATATGTGAATGTTTTGGGCGCTTAAAGACTGTTCGTCATTTTCTATCTCGACTTGAAGTATAAAGTCAACTTTCTAAATGCACGTGTTATATACATAGATGTTATGCCAATGTACTTCTCTTCATTTATGTTCACAATCCAGTCTGTTGGAAACTTAAACGTTACTCTGTTCCCCTTTATTTTGACGTCAGGGTTTTCACTACTGAACGCAACAGATAAAGGTATTTGTCTATACATTTAGTTCGGATAAAAATAAACCATTTACTCTTTCTTCTTCAGCTTCTTTAGCTTTTGCTTCAGCTTCTTCTCTAGCTTTCTTCGCCAGCAAACGTGGGTTCTTCTGTCTTCCAGCAGCTAATGCAGCTAGTTGTTTTTCACTAAGTTTTCTCTTTGGTCTCTCTGGCTTTTGTTCTTGTTTTTGTTCCTTCAGTTCGGATAAAATTTGCTCGCGAATTTCTTTCTTCAATGCTTCAACATCTATGACCCCTTGGGTCTTGTCCGTAGGACTTGTCTGAGTCATTTGACTGCAGATAAAAAACAAAATTAAAACTTTAACCGATGTAAAATGAGCTTGTCAAAATCAGAACGAGAGTCTATTATATTAAATGACGCCAGAGGAATACAACATCCTTTCTATTACGTAAGTCAGAGTAAAGATGGTAAAATATATGTAAGAAAAAGAAAGGTTCCATTAGCGAATGCAGAAAGCGACAACATTAAGGTGCATGGCAAGGGTGAAGTCCACGAAGCCCATATAAAACCTTCTGTTCAAACTGAGCCACCAAAAGAACCAGAAGAAAAGAAGCCAGATGTACTTTCAATAACGAACCAAGAGCTTATTGCAAAGTTCGTGAATTTCATTGAAAAACAAACCGAGTCAAAGAACCCTGACCCGCCAGTGAAAGAAGTTGAGACAAAAGAGAATGTACAGTTCATTGAAAATGTCAAGAAACAACTTCCACCACGAATGCCAAGAAGAAGAGTGAGAATAATGAAGTAAATAGATATTTTTATCTGAAGTAAATACATGCAGAACGAACAGCTAAACGAATTTACTCCAGCAGAGCATATTCATCAGATTCGCTCATATTTCGATATCATAGACAATGCAGTTCAAATTGGTGACACTAATAGAAAATATTCTGACGCAAAGATTCCATCACAACTGGAACTGCTAAAGATAACACATGGGTAACATTCAATCTCTCACCTCCTGGTGAAAATATGTTGGACCTTTACAATACATTCATTACGTATAAAATGGAAGGTCAATTTATTGTAGATAAAGAAATTGGTTCAGGTTCCAATAAAACAAACCCACCAGGATTTTGGATTGGTTTCGATGACGCTTTCTATGCAGTTGCTGGATATCAAATCCTTGCAAATGGTCGTATCGTATATTCTCAAGACAACGCAAGAGAAGAAGCATATATAACTTCAAACTCACAAACTACCGAACAAATAAAGAAAGTAGATGTTTTCTCAAAGACTCGACATGAAGATGTATGGAG